CTCAGCATTACTACCTGGAGAATTTAAGGGCCTCCTTTTTCAAAAGTCTAATTCTCTAGGCTAGTGGTTCTTAAGGTTTAAGGCAAATTTGTTTAAGACCTTTGTAAAATGCAAATTCCCCACCTCACCCCCAGAGGTTTGGGGTTTAGGGTAGAACCCAGGCATCGGTATTCACTAGTAAGCATATCAGCGGTGTGGACCGGCTGCTCTGGGCTCATAGAAACCAGAGCAGAGAGGTCCCCAGATTAAGGGGACCTAGAGCTGGCTACCACCAAAGGAACTGGGGTTCCTCCAGACAGTGAGACAAAGCCCATCAGCTTCCATTTCCAGGCCACCTCTGAGGAGTGGACAGAGTTCTGTCGGTGGTAGCTGCCAAGGAGCCATGAGATTAAGCTTGAGAAGTGGGATCAGGCCTGCTTGATAACAGCCCACATCACAGCAGAGCCACCATCCTCTGGGTTGACCAGGGCTTCAGCAACAACCACGTCATGGTCAGCCCCATCCACCAAAGACCAGAGGTGACGTAGGCCCCAGGCTTCCAAGGCGGTGGGATTGTTCACTGAGAAATGACGGACGTGGGCTGTCTCTCCCATCCCCATGGACGGAGTTGAAGGCGCAAGACCGTTACCTTGTCTGCACTGATAGGGGATGCTCAAACCCACACTTCACCTTCTGTCTCTGCTATTTGTTTTCACCTTACGCTGCTTCTCACAGTTTCATACCTTGTTAGGACAAAACCAAAGATTCAGGAAGCCTCAGCGAGCTTCCAGAGCAGTGAGAGAAGTGGGGAAACAGCAGGACAGGAGGGTGAACTCGGCCCACTCCACAAAGCCGGAGGCATTTGTTAGCACAGGAAGCTTTAATAAATGTGGTTTTAGCCACAGCAGAATGTGAGACCCCAAAACCCGCAAAGATACAGAGAATCCTCCCGTCCATACGGCTGAGAGGTCAGCAAGAATCCAATGCAAATAGGGTGACTCCTTTCTGGTTCAAGCAGGAAAACCCTGGCCCTACCAATCTCCCACTGGCCAGGGCAGTGTGACTCAGGGCAAAATTCTTCACTGTCTAGACATGACTCCTGTTGCTAGGGGACAGGTTAGCTAATATTTAAATCCCAGTCTGGGCTCTACCATGCTAAGACACATTTCACATGGCCCAAGTTTTGCAGATAGTTCTCAAATTATTAAGGCTTTCTTTAGACGGAGTTCTCTGTTTATGTGTTCTGGAGGTGGCTGGACAGCACTTAGGTATGAATATATCATGTCCCATTTCAGTAAATTGCAATGAGCTTGGTCAAAATGTTTCTATTGCATGGAACATCGTTTTCTAAAATAGCAGAGATGTTGCTAAAACTTTGGAAGTAGTTTTTCCCCCCATAGCAATATTTGTGTGTGTGTGTGTGTGTGTGTATGTATAAATGACTCCTAAATAATTGGTTGGAAGCTCGAATATATTCAGAGTCTTATCATATTTGTAATTCCTTTAAAATATATTGCAGTTTACAATCTGGCTTCTCAGTCTTGCCTTGCCAGATTAGGAAATGTTTCAGATGATGCGCTCCTTCAGTGGCGATCGATTTGCTTATGCATCGTCACCAAAGGAATAGCAAAGGGTCGTTAACAACAGACACTTCACAGCCATCGCGTCGATGCAGACTCATAGTGGCCCTACAGGACAGAGTGGAACTGCCCCTCTGGGTTTCTGAGACTGTCACTCTTGACAGGGTGAGACAGCAGCAGCATCCAAGGGTGGGTAGTGGTTTCAATTGCTGACCTTACAGGTTCACGGTCCAAAGCTAACCCACCACACCATCAATTCGCCTCCGAAGTGTCCTTAGGGGGTGTCTTTAATGTCTAGGGCACAGCTGGGGGACAAAGGTCCACTACTGGAATTGCGCAGGAAGTTTGCCAGCCCAATATTCAGTAAAAACAAGCAAGCAAGCAAACAAACAAAAAACCCCAGAACAAAACAACCTATTCTAGTTGTTCTTTCAGTAAAGGATAGAATTCGCATGTCATGGTAGTTCTTGTTGGTACTTGCCATACTCCTCCTCATTAAAATAGACACACCCACTTCCCAGACACCACACCCACCTTCTTTGTGTCTCCCTCCATTCCCTAGCCCCGGTGTAAGAAGCCGACTCCTATAATTCCTGGAAGATTGAGACCCAGAAGTGAGTTTCCAGTGACAGAAATTAATATCTGTATATTGCCTTATTAAGATGATCATCATGCTATATTACATTCAGATCTACACAAGCTCTTGAACTGTGGATGGTAGAGATGGAAATTTTCTGCCTTCTTGGCTTCTTCAATGAGACTCCGAGCTACTAGTTTTTTGCTGCTTTGAGAAAGCAGCAGAGTTTCCTAGTTCAAAGTGAAACCTATCTGTCTCTCAGTGGAAAGCCACAGTGCTAGGCATGGCTGCATCCTCTGTGCAGGGTTACCACAGGCTAAACAAGGTGCCTGTTGAGTTGGACACTCATCTGGGGATTCTGACACATCCGTTTCCAGGTCACTCAGCTTGTTGACAACATTCAGTTCTTTGCGGTTGCAGGATTGAAACCTCTGTTATTTTGCTGGTTGTCAGCTGGGGACCTCTTTTTGGGTATGTTTAATTTTTCTTTTCTTTTAACCGTTTTATTGTCATTTAATCCACATATCACACCATGTTCAATCAAATCAGGAATTGTACAATCATCGCCATAATGAATTTCAGCACATTTTCTTTCTTTCCTTTTAGCCCCCACCCCCCACCATGATGAACTTGCCTTTAGAAGGAGTTGTGTGATCACCTTCAGCTCTAGTGCTCCCTCCCCCTCCTGCCTTCATTGTTTACCCCCCAAATCCCCTTGCCTTCCCCATCTCTGCCCCCTGCACGCCCCACAAGCCCTTGCATCA